AAAAAAAAAAAAGCATAGCACATACATGGACAGTAGCAGACTATAACAACCAGGCTTGTGTAAGTGCATTCCATGTTTTTCTCACGATGACAAAATCGCCCAATACATTTCTCAGAATGTATTCCTCTTGTTAACAAGTGTGTGACTGTATATGTTTTTGCCAATATCCTGTTTACTTGCCTGACTCTTTCTCATCCTGCACATCCTTTAGGCTTCATCTCTTCCATAAAGCTACCTGATCCTAACCTGTTGTCCCTTCTAGATGCTAACATAGCACTTTGTTCTTCTCTCATTATAGCACTTGACACACTAAATTATATATGCTCATTACTTATTTGTAGCCTTTGTAGACTATTAAATTCAATGAGGGTAGAAATATTGTCTTTTTAAAAATTATATTTCAGTGCCTCGCACGCTGCTTGGCATGTCATAGATATTCCATAAATACATTTTGAATAGGGAATCTCTTCTATGTAGTATATCTATTCCAGAGTCTACTTCAAAACTTAGTCACTTCAAGACTCAAAGGTTTTGTTTCCAATATCTACAAGGATTTTTAGCTTAGCCCAATCCAGGGGTGGTTGACAAAAAATGTTTCCCAATCTCTCTCAGCACTGCGTTCAATACAAAAAGTGAATTAAAGCTAAACATATTCAAAATACACCGAATACAACTTTTCTCCATATATGGGCTATATTTAAAGAATTGTTGGGGAATCAGAATGGTTCTATCCTGGAGCACAGACAGGACAAAGAAGTTAGAGGAATGTTTGGGTTGATAAAGAAGGGGACACTGACGAGACCACGCTAATGGATTTGTCAGCTTTACTTAGAGAAGAGTAGAAAATATGATTTAGTAGGTAGAATAGGATTAGAATGTGGAGAATCTCTTAACTCAGGCTCAACAATGTGAGTACTCTAAGAGGACACAAGTATAATATACGACTACAGAAATGTAAAAAAAAAAAACACCAAAAAACAATTCTTAGTTTGTAGGCCATACAAAAACAGGCAGTGGGATGGCTTTGGCACAGGGGCTGAAGTTTGTTGACTCTTGATCCAGAGGTTCATAATGAGCTTTAGGATCTCTGATTACAAATCTTCTGTCAAATTCGCAGCTTCTATGAATCACTGTATCCTTTATGGTAGCAGATGCTTGAAGCAAATTTCTGGAACCCCTCTACATAATGCTTTTTCAGACTAAAGCCTTCGAGGGGTCAAAAAATGCAAGCTGGCCCTTTTGGGTCATATGAGAAAAAGTAACATTTCACTTAATAAACCAAAATCTCATCACTAACCAGAATCCCTAGATGTGAACCTGCTTCTAAAAAAGCAGCTCAAAGGGCCGGCTGAGTGGCTCCGTTGGTTAAGAGCTCGCTCAAGAGTTTGAGCTCTGAGCAACAGCGGTTGAGTCCTGGCCCAAGCTGAGCAGCCGCTGAGCTGCCAACAGGTGGCAGGATGGCTCAGCTAAAAAAAAAAAAAAAAAAAAAAAAGCAGCTCAATTCTGTCCTCATGAGGTGTGAGGTGTACTTACCTTCCAGAGAATGAATGTCTCACCAAGTTTACTCCTGACCCAACTTAGAAAGTTGAGCTTCACCACATCTAGCAATTTCGTTTATTGACTTCCAGATTCAATCTTAAGGCAAAGATCACTTCTGAGGTTTTCTAGACCTTTCTTCTATCATTCCATGAATGATATATATATTAAAAAAAAGCAAAAAAGCAGCACACTTAAGTGTAACAGGAGAGTCATTGCCTCACAATATTTACTTCAAAATACAGTGGAATTTAAATTGCTGCCCAATTATTTTCCAGATAGTGAAGCACCTTTTATTTAATGCTGGTAATTTCCCCATATAAATGTTCTATGCCGGGCACATAATTCTCTCACATGTCCTTGAAGGTTAGATAAGACTCTCATAGCAACCAAGCTCTTTTCGCTTTCCTTTGACACCTTATCCAAATTTTATATTATTTGCATATTATTTAACATCTTCTCCACTCCCCCCCTCTTTACCACACCACATGACTTTTAACTCCTTGAACGTAAGGACTGTATCATCAGTTGGATCAAGAGTGAGCAAATTTCAGTCCCTGTGCCAAAGCCACCCCACTGCCTGTTTTTGTATGATCTGCAAACAAAGAGGGTTTTTTTTATGTTTTTAAACTGTTGTATAAATAATCAAATTAAAAAAAATATATATATATATATATATACATTGACATATAAAATTCAAATATCAGTGTCCACAAATAAATTTTATTGGCACACAGCCATGCTTATTTATATATGTATTTCTGTGGCTGGTTTTATGTTACAGGGGCAAATTTGAATAATTACACCAGAGACCAAACAGCCCACAAAGTAAAAAATATTTACTATTTGGCCTTTTATGAAAAAATTTGTCAATTCCTGGTTTATAGCATGACTGTACCTCTAGCACTTCATAAGTGATTATTAACTATGTGTTGAATTAACTATTAAAGGAATGAATATGAATGCACATGACAGGACACAAAGAAAGGATGAGACAATAAGTTTTCAAATATTTTATTGAAAACAAATAAAGATTGGAATCAAAAGATATCTGTGGTTATTTTATAAGCAGGGTCAGATTTACTAAAAAGCCACTAATCTCATACATTAATAAAACTAGAGCTTTCATGAGGTGTGTAGTGGGGGGTGGAAGGGAAGGGGGCTCTGAGAAGTACAGAATACTCTTCTACACTCTTAGTGCCTACTGAGAAAATCATTTTGAATGCTGGTTAGTGAGATACTTAATATTCACTTACAGGACAAATATTAAATTAAGATGATAAATGATAAATGCAGGTATGCTTAGCGTTCCTTTCAACTTAAGGAACAGAGAAAACTGATTTTTTTAAAAAGTACAGTTGACCCTTGAATGACACAGGGGTAATGGGAGCCAACCGCTTCCCCATTTGGAGTAAAAAATCCATACATAACTTTAGACTCCCCAGAAACTTAACTACAGTAGGACCTTTGCACCTGGGGATTCAACCAACCAAGGATGGAAAACAGTATAGTAAGTCCCCGACTTACGAACGAGTTCCATTCCGGGAGAATGTTCTTAAGTCAGATTCGTTCGTAAGTCCGACAAAGTGAGTTTTATACACCTTTGACACACATATACAATGTAAAGCATAAAAAAACTAAACACACACACACACACACACACACACAAATACTGCAGATAAACTATTTTTTACTTTTACAGTTACCTTAAAGTGGTGATACAGTACATTACAACAACTGGCATATAGGGTTGCATAGAGCAAACTGACAAGAAGAGAGTTACTAGCTGGAGGAGGGACGGTAGGTGGGAGATGGTGGAGCTGAATGCTCATCAGCGATAGGAGATTGAAAGCGAGATGGAATTTGGCCCACACCTGATGTTGATGGAGCTGAAGG